GATATTTAGTTAAGAAAACTCCTTTCAAGGAGCAATAAGAACCCCTGTCACACAAAGGGCAAGAATATAAATCTTGCCTTTCATTTTGGCAAGTGTGGGGAATCCAAAAGACTCACACGGAGAGTGTGTCTTCCCCATTCAAGGATTTGGCTCTGGTCTGGTGTGGAAGTCTCATCTCTCTATCCAAAGTTTTGCTCTGTTAGCAAGCTCTTCCAGGGAGAAGGAAGGAGCAAGCTGACCATGCCCAGTATATCTAGATACATTTGTCCCTTAGGTAAGTCTTTCCCTCTCCCCCAGAACAGAATGAATAAAGGGCCAAAAGGACCCAGGATTTATACTTACCGAACTCTCTTCCCTGGAAGGAAACAGGAGGAATGAGTAAGAAATGTTCCCCCCAACATTCCCAGCTTTTTGTTGTTTTAAACAAAACAACAAAATGTTGGATTAAACAGTATGCTGTGCAACCAGGAGTGTGGCTGTCGCCCTCAGGAGAGCAAACCTGCAGTCTGCCAGCATGGTCCTGCTCCTACTTCCCTGCTCCTCCGCAGCTCCAGAGAAGTTTCCACAATGGGTCAAAACCCTGTGTTAACTCCATATCCACTCTGTGCCTGAATGTAAAAATCTACTCCCTAGTCTATTTTCCATTACAAATATGTCCCCCCTCCATTGTTTATAGGCTGTTTCAGGGACTCTGCATTGAGAGTAAGTGACAACATTAAGAGAACCCCCAAGCTGAACTAAAAAATCCTCCATTGCCAAATTTTACCAAATTCCCAGTGTGATGTGAAATTCTCTTTCAAGTTAAAATTCAAATACACTGAAATCAAAAGGAATTAAAGTTCATAAATTCCCTTGTCATTGTGAGTTAAAGGTCGAAATTCAATATTGTCAAGTTAAAGTAAAATTTTTTAAATCCTCCCTAATTTCCCCTTCTGCTCAGTTTAAATCAGAGGCCTTCTCGATGCCTGGGTAGAGTTAGGGTTTCATAAGCAGCTGTTCGCTGAGATATCTCTCATTGGAATACAATTTTGTTTCCCTTCTCAAAGAACCAGTATTTTTTTGGCTTTCTTGATTTTTGCTATTGTGAGTTTATTTCCTGCTTTTTATTTCCATTCTTATCTTTCTTATTTTCTACCTTTCATTTTCTTGCGGCTTAATTTTTTGTTTTCTAACTTAAGATGGACACTTAGATTATTAATTTTCAGTCTATTTTTCTTACATATTTTAGGTTATAAAGTTTCTCCTGATCTACAAGTCTACATTGGCAATTTTTTTAACAATTTAAAGAAATATTCCATTTTCTACTGACTTTCATTGTATCTGCTAAAATCAGTACTAGATCTTATTGCTCACCTGAATTTAATGTGTCTTTCTCTCTGGCTACTTTTAACATTTTCTCTTTGCCTTGGGTTTTCAGCAGTTTGACTGTGATGTGCCTCGTTTTGATTTTCTTTGTCTTTATACTTCTTGGGATTCATAGTGCTTCTGAAATAAAAGCTTGATAGCTTTCAAGAATTCAAGGAAATTTGACTAGTAACACTTCAAATATTACTTCTATCCCATTTTATCTCTCATTTTAGGACTTGATATATATATGTTTCTCCTTTTGAGGTGATGTTTCTGACATCCCAATACTAAATTGAGTGTGGGTCCTATCCAGTGAGTGGTGTTCACTGACTCTAGAAAGCAAGCATCACCAGCCCTCATCACAGTGGCTGTTTCCAAAGAGTATAAATGTTTAGGCTATAAACATTGCTATAAATTGTTTAGGCTTCAGAAGCCAGCCTGTCAGGAAAGGGTTTTATATTGTTTCAAAATTGTTTTAGCTAGAAAATCACTCTCAGCAAATTCCTGAATAGAAGCATTCTTGATGATTCTGAAGCCTGTTTCTCTAGATGGACTGTATAACTCCACTTATTATCATTGGTTTTTTTTTTGACTGTTTATTAGTATATATGACTAATTCCCCTGACTAGATCACATGCGTCCTTAAGGCAGGATTCATCACCTTTTAGCAAGTGCCTAATTAATTAATTAATGTTGGCCAACATTTCCAGCAGCTGTAGCTACTTTTGATTAGGGTGGGGTAGCAAGGGGGCTTAGAATTTATCATCTCTCTAGAGGCTTTTCATTTTTCCGTGCTCCTAAATATGACACAACCAATGAAAGTAGAATGCAAAATGTGACTCGGTTTTTCTTTCTGCCGCTTAAAGTCTTCAGATGCTGATGGTCTTGGAAGCTTTGGTTCCATGTTACCTACAAAAGCTGAAGAGGCAGACATCACAGGTGGAGACAGTACCTGCTGCCCGAGAGGAGATTGCTGCCACAGCTGCTCTTGCGACATCCCTGCAGGCCCTTTTATACAGTGTAGAGGTCCTCACCAGGTAATCCCATTGGCAGAAATATCCACAACCTTAAGCCCTATGTGTCCACTGAAAAGATGAAGAAAAAATGTGGCTAAAAATCTCTAAAACCCAGTCTTTATTTACAGATACCTACCCGAACTGAGCCCTTTATGGCTTATAACTGCAAACAGTTCCTAAGTTATTTGGATAAATAATGCTAAGCACTTTGAATAGTAGTAATAGTAATGATAATAAAAATGATAATAATAATGCTATCATTGCTAAACACACATTTGCAAATAGCTTACTGAGCTTCTCTGGCAGTTTTAACTCAGTGGTAAACACATCTTTTGTAAAAGGCCCAATTTAGTAATTATAAAAATGCCATCCACATTTTTATTAGTTATTATGTTATTTTATGAGACATGAAATGTCTGCAGTTCTAACTGAGCAATTTTTTATTGTTTTACTGTTTGTGAAGAGTTGTGCTTTTTTAGTATAATTTCAGAAACCACTTAACAAATATAAAGAGCAGAATTTTGTTCTAGCAATGGAATTAACAGACTCTCTGTGGGACAGGACTAAATAATGCTGAGAGGGAGGATTGAGAAATCTGGAAATGGAAAGGTAAATTGACACCAGAGTTCAGCCCTACACAGAATTCAAGACATTAGTCCTGTCACAAAATTCTTGGGTGCAGAAGCAGAGGAATTGAGCTGCCATAGGGCAAGGAAGGGCCAGATGGGGGCTCTGGATGGGACAGAGGTAGAGTGAGCATGGGGAAGGTGGGTGCAGGACACTATGCATAGGATTGGCTTTCCTTCTCTGTTCCTATCTAAATCATCTGGAAGGAGATATTCTTCCCCAGGATAGAGATGGGGAAGCCTTCATCCTGGATTCATGTCTTTGCTCCTTCGTTTCATTCTGCCATGCTCTGTGTCCAGTCTAAATTGCCAAATCCTGAGCATAAAATTCTATCTATGCCCCCACCAAAAAGTACCAACCCCCTCCGCCCCCCCGCCGGCTTCAGCTTGCTGTGTTGGTAAGAGGGAAGTCCATTAGTCCCAGGAGGACTTTTTCAGCATGTATCAGCAAGTGAGAGAGTGAGTGGGATTGTTATGTATTAACTTCAATATGTGTATAGTTCCCAATCAAGAGCTACACTGCCAGCCTAGGCACGCAGAATATAGCCTTGGGTAGACTATCATCCCGAAATGCTCCTATGTGCCTAAACTGAGGAAATGGCAAAAGTGGAACAGAAAGCCAGGACACGTTGCCTTTTCTAATGCAAAATAGTCCCAGTGCTTTGCTGATGGTATCAAGAAATTCCTGGGGAAAAGAACATCTGAAGGAGAAATACAAGACTTATGCTCTTCCTTCTGTATCTGTCTGGTTATGTCACTAGCTCCCTCCTAGGACCAGAGGAGAGAAAAGTAGTCAATACTCCCCAAATTCCACTTTAGTTATTTCTCCTCATATTTTATAATATTGGTATTGTCTTCCTTTCTATTCCCTTTTATAAAGATCAGTCAATTAATTTATCCAAAATTGACTTATCCAAAATTCCATGAAGAGTTAAAATTCTGTGACTTTAAATATTTCAGTGCATTTAATATTATTTTGGTGGAGTAGAAGACTAGGCTCATTGGGTTGGTAGTTACAACAAAATTGGCTTCACTGTTTCTACAAAAAGAAGATAAGATTCCCCTTCAGTTCCATGCTCCTAATTTCTTTATCTCAATAAAAATATCCACACAAAACATTACATAGGTAATATTACAAAAATAAGTATATTACAAGTGTATTAGTTTTCTATTGCTGTATAACACATAACCACAAACTTTGAGGCTTACAACAAAATGCATTCATTATCTCACAGTTCTGTAGGCAAGAAATCCAGGAATGCTCAACTGGGTTCTCTGCTTGGTGTTTCGCAAGGCAGGAATCCAGGTGTTGGTCAGTCTGAGCTCTTGTCTGAAAGTACTGGGGAAGAATGCACTTCCAAGCTCATTCAGGTTTTTGGCAGAATTCTTTAGGTCTGAGATCCCGTTTCCTAGCTGACCATCAGGCAGGGGCCATTCTGCATCCCTTCTCACATGGTCGCCCTCCATCTTCCAGCCAGGAACAGTGCCTTCAATCCTTCTCATGCTTCAAATCTCTCTGCTGTCAGCCAGAGAAAACTCCCTGCTTTTAAAGGGCTGTGTGATTAAATTAGACCTACCCAGATACTCTCCCTTTTTGACATGTAAGGTAACATAATCACTGGAGTAACATCAAGAGGCAAAGTTCTTTGGGATCATCTTTAAGTTCTAGCTGCCATGGGAAGAGAAGATCTGGTGTGGCTGTTAAAAGCTTAGTTACTTTCCAGCCATACCCAGCGTACAGAAAGTGAGTGACGTAGAAGCAAGCCTTAAAGATTTCATAAAAGCCTTGCTTTGAAAACTATATCATCCCTTTTATATTCCAAATGCCAATACAGAGGCAAATTTTACCTAATATTTAAAGTAAACCTTGTAGATATAACACAAGATGATTCAGATCTATTACTCAGCATCTAAATTACTGACTTGTAATCAATACAGATTTACTTACTTTCCTGGATAGGCTTAGGTATAATTTTGACTAGGAGAATTCTTTTATTTTTTGATAGTTTCTCAGAAAAACAGAATGGTTGAATGTGGTGTAGGTGGCCAAAGTGGTATCTACCCCCTTCCTTGCCTTTTACTTATTGTCTAGAATGGTTTACTGCCTGGTACCAGAAAAATTGAAGAATGAGCTCTTAACTCTCACTTAATCAGTACCAACTTAGAAGTTTGATTTCATAAATGTCTTGTTTGAAGAGTCATAGTTTATTCCTCAGAATGAAGAAGTAGAAGAACTTAAATCCTGGTGAGCTTATAGACCCTTGGGAATCAATGTTCCATATAAAGTACCTCTCAGAATAGACAGAAAACATGTGACAGAAAAGCCCAAAGCTAGACAGCCTGTCTTTCTAAGACTTCAAAACTAACTTAAAACTTATGTGAACCTCATTAACATGAGGATTTCGTAAATGTTTCCAGTTCTATTGTTGTCATTTTGTGTTGACTGCTGTCATTGTTACAGGCCCATGACGGCCCCACAGATGAGCAGGTGTGACCAAGGTCATAAGGGAGCCACCACAGCCAACCACACCATGTCATCTGGCGTGAACACCAGGTAATTCACTGAGCCTTATTCCTCTATGATATCTCAATTTCATACAACCTGAATTTCAGCTGTCGGGAATGAAAGGAATCCTGAAAATAGTCAATATTAAGTGTGAAAACCTCCAAGGAAAAGAAAAGAAGGTAAAAGTTTAGAGTTACAAGAAAATACCAAGGCTTCTTTTGAAACTGTAAAAGAGATATCCAAACCACTTTCATAAATTGGCATTTTTGTTGATTTGTTTGCATGAGCATGCTAGATGGTCTCTGCCTCCTGGGTGGTCTTTGAACTATTCCAGTGTTGTTTCATTTGCCTCCAACAAAAGGCAAATAAACAGAAATAACCAGGAGGTGGTTTTTCATCCCCAGGGCAGTAAGAGCCGACTTACTTTCATCTGGACAAATTTTCTACAGACATTTCATCCAAACTTTGACTTATGTCCTCAAATGATGCCTTTCTGTGATTGTTGACTTAATCTCCTTCCCTTGTTTTAGTGTAACTCAGACACTATTTATACTGGTTAATATTTTACCTGTTTCATTCTATCTGTGTTAACATTAAATACTCCAACACACAAAAAAAAGTTTAGCTTCCTCCTCCAAGGAAGATTTAAGATTAGGCAAACCCAAAATCAGCTTAAGAGAAAGTTCTCTTTTCCCAGTATGAAGTAGTTGGCAGGGAGATCATAATGAGAAACTTAAATAATGTTCTACTCTCTCCGAAGTATATTTTAGTGTATATCATTATTTATGTAAAGTGAATTCCCTATTCATCATATATACTCATATTAAAGACAAAAATAAATAAATTCCAACCCCAACTATAAATTACCTGATGTGATGGTTAACTCATGCCTTAATTTCTTATATTATGGAAAAATGATAAACTGTAGTTTAGGTAATATTTAGGGCCTTCTCTAGGCACATTGGGTTAGGTTCAAATACTAGATGAATGGTGCATGGAGAAAGAGGCCTTCTAAGTCTTATTGTCAATCAGTCATAAAGCAATAAGTCTCCAGAACTGAAAGAAAGCCATCCATGTTTCTTCCTCTGATCACCTCAAACAGAGCACATGGTGTTAAAACTGTAACTGAGATTTCAAAATTTCCAAAACTTCTCTCATTTGGCTACATTCCAGGAGTTTGTATATGTTTTTATAATGTTTGTCTTTACCCAAATTATATGGCAATGAAACAGCTTTTGTAGCAGCTATAATTGCAGCATATGTACAGCCAGATGAAAGATAAAGCTTTTCTATTTTAGGATTAATATGTGTGTATTTGTGAGCTTATCAAAATGTATAGTTTTTTATATATTCCATAGCTCAAGGGCTTTTTGTATGAAAATTTCAATAAGAAGCCCCAGCAAAGGGAACCTGTTCTTGCTCTGATAGTTATGCAGACTGTTTTTCTGACTCCCAGGTACCAAGAACAAGGAGCCAAACTGCACTTTATCAGGTACAGAAAGACTTGCTCTAATTTCATACCAGTTCTGACATCTTGAGATGATTGCCTTTTGAGCTGGGTTATGGTTCTGTTAGATTTTCTTTAATTGAAGCATGACATACTATTTCTGTAAAATTTCTCAAGAAGTGGCTAATGTAAAGCCACTACCATTTGGGATGACAATCTCTACTAGGTTGGTAAACTTTCTTTATCCTTCAGATGAGGTTCTCCTCATGCTACTGATTCATCAACTCATTAGGAATCTTATATATTTCTTCAGTGTGATAACCTTCCCCTCGAAGTTACCACATGCACACATTTTCAGACCCCTAGTTAATCTCATATAATTTCCCAGGGAAAACCTTCATTTGCTGGAGGAAGGGCAAGGCCTTCCCCGAGAGGAACTGGATGAACGAATTGCTCGGGAAGAGTTCAGAAGACCTCGGGAATCCCTGCTGAATATTTGCACAGAATTCTATAAACACTGTGGGCCGAGGCTGAAGATCTTGCAAAATCTGGCTGGGGAGCCACGGGTCACTGCCCTGGAGCTGCTGGATGTGAAGTCCCACATGAGGTACTGGCCTCGTTTTCCCTGCCCTGAGTGTGGACATAGCTTGGGCCATATGTTTGAGTACGTGTGTTGGACTAGGGCTGGGAGTTCTCCAGGATAAAAACTTGAGATACTCAGAATGATTTGTTTCCTGTGACTTGGATACATGTCATACATAACCCTCTGGTAAAGTGTAGATTAAGTCCATCAAAAAGGATCTCATGGTGGACAGGGGGGAGATTTCTTAAGACAAAAAAGCACAGTCCATATATTTACTTCTCAATAAAAGAGAGGGAAAGGGAAATTTCATCACTTGAATTCTTAGAAAAGTAGCCTTCTTCCAAGTACTATTTACTGCCTAGATTCTAATTTTTCACAAGAATCCAATGTTTGTCTTCTGTTATTTTACATAAAAATGCACTTCTACTTTTTGCTGCAGTACTCATTCTGTCCCTAGCCTCCCTAAGTACTCAGTAAACAGCTCTACAGGAAAGTGAGCAGTTTCACCTCCTAGCCACATTTCGCTTGGGCCTGAAATACTCTTTATACTCATTGATAATAGCCTTCCAACAGTTCAAAAAAGTTTCCTGGAAAAAATTCTGAACTGATTGAGGCCAGTCATCATTTAAATGTTTTAATTCTGTTGTGCCAGGGAGAGGCCCGAAAATTACATCTTTGTACACTCCTATTTCCTTCCTCCTGTGAAGGTGCCATTCCACTTGTTACTCATGCTAAAGGCCGTGTTTGTGTTTTTATATTCTTAAAAGGAACGTGATTCCAGAAGACCTTCTATTTGTAACAGTTTGTAAAGGATCACAGAAATTACTTGAAAGAAAAATGTCATGGGTAACAAAAGATTCACTTGGAAAGTTTAATGTATCTATAAAGCTAAAGGTAGAGTTAGGTTCTAGCCATTCAGAAATAACATTGCAATTTAACAAAACACACCAATTTCCTGGTTATTGACTTTTAAAAAATGATTCTTTGAAAAAAATTAGAAAGTATTCAGTGAAGGGAAATGAGGGACCAAAATGCACAATCTGCACAGGTTCTTTTTCCTCCCAATTTCACATTCTTTGAATTGTGGGCACACACCCAGAGCTTCATGTGAGTTCATACTCCCCGTTGTGCAGTAATAGGGAAGAGATTATTTCACACTGAGAATTTCAGCTCCTAGATGGGGCGGGAAGTTTGGAACGTTAAAGTCCTGTTGCCATAGCAACCCAGGGCTCTATTCAGTCCCTCCCCTCCCTTTTCCACTGGTACCTCTAGCTGACCTAAGTAATTCTGTGAACAGAGAAACATCACATTCCCAGAATCAGAAAATCACTACTACCAACAGCCATTTTGTGAGAGAAAGGGCAAAAGATTCCTAAAAGATAGATATGTATGTGTGTGAGAGACACACCATGGGATAGTAACTGTCCTATATCCTGCCTCCCAGGCACTGAGCTAAATCTCTTCAATTATAGCTCACTTGACCTTTAATAGGTACTAGCCTCTAGAGGGAGCTCCAGGCCTCCCTGACTCTTTCTTGAGACATCTGGAGGTACAGCAAGAGTCAGGGAGGCCTGGAGCTCCCTCTAGAGGTCAGCACCTATTAAAGGTCAAGTGAGCTATAATTTAAGAGCTTTAGCTCAGTGCCTGGGACAGATCTAGGATATAATAGATGATAATGAACATGGTTCAAATACTATGCTAGACATTGGGGATGTAAAATAAGGTCCTGGTCCTCAAGATTATCACAGTCCAATTCAAGAAACATACAGAAGAAAATAACTATAATACAGTGTTGCAAGTACTATAATCACATGTATGCATTTATGTATTTATCATTTTATAAAGGATTTGAGGCAACTTAGAAAATTATGTGATACAATAGGATAGAATATACCAATTATAGAGTCAGAACAATGTGAAAAATGAGAAGGGAAAAAACTATGTTTATGATAAAATTAGCACAGGTAATTGATATGGATTACATAAGATATTATTCATGAATCATAAATTTGACTGTGAGCTTCTGAGTTATCAAAACAATGAGTTTAAATGATTAATTACAAAATCATAATGTCAATAAGATAAAAATAACCAGTTTTTTGGTGAAACAATACTTTTTTTAAATATGAAGAACAAGAAATGTCTTGTAGGGCCAAGGCAAGACTTTCCCTTCACCCTCTGAAGGTTTGCTCAAAATCAACTGACAAAATGCAGATTAATAGGAGAAAAGTCATGCAAATTTATTTGATCATAGTTTTATGCAACACGTGAGCCTTTAGCATGAAGACCCAAAGATACAGGGGAAATTATTTTTATGCTTAGGTTTAACAAAGTATGGATAGCCATGTGGAAATATGATTGGACAAAAAGAGTATGATCTAATGCTAATAGATTGAGTGGGGAAAGCCAGCAAGGCCTACCTGTTTAGATTCTTCTTGGCCTTTCTGTGCAGCCTTCCTTTCTTTTGGGCATGGGGTATGACCCTCTCTGGAAAGGGGATCGTATGACCTACAATCAAACAAAGTAGGTCAGATAATTTCTTTATGGAAATTTTTTACACAGAAAGGCAAGGAGAAAGTTAGAGTAATATTTTTAGGTTTTATGGCTGGCTTTGGGGGAAAAAGGTTCTGGTTTCAATGACCCACCTTGGAGAAGAGGGATTCTTGTTTCTATGACTAGCCTGGGGAAGAATGAGGGGACAGAGGCAGGAGGGCAGGGATCAGTGAAAAACTTTTACTTCTGAGGTCTCATTTTGGTGTATCATTTTCCGAACCCCAACTGTCTCCTGGTTGGTGTTTGTTAAAAGGAAAGAGTGGTGTGATGAACAATGTCCTCAACATCTCCATAGTGGAGAAAGTGCTACTTTACACGGCTGGATGCCTGTCGTGGAGAAAGTTGGCATAACGTCCCAGTGCAATTCACCAAAAGCATCCCATCTGGAGCCAGGATAATGTCATTCAAGAACAGTTATTTCATGGCTTGGATCTTTAGGACGGCAAAATTTTTACTGTCCAGGGAATATTTAGACTAAATGCCCTCTCTTAATGCAATTTCTCACAACAAGCTTTTGATAAAGACAGGCCTGTCATAGTCTTTGGACAAATAGAGATATTCTACGTTGCTGAGTAGGGGCAAATCCATATGCTTTGACCTTCTACCAAATAAAGGATATATTTAAGATTTTCTCTTATAAATTAAGTGTATACTTGGATAAATATAAAAGCCAGAGCTAAATATAAATATAAATTGTGGGTAGTATTAAATCATTCTTAAGTCATAGAATGGATAATGTCACCAAAGGAAAGTTGATTTAAAAAATAAATGGGATGATATTAGTATAAAAATATAGGAGATATTTGCAGAAAAAAAATTGAATAGAGCTAAAGGGTTAAACAGCAGTGCTGAACACATCTGTACTCCTGCATTTGCAGAATATGTGGTTGATTGCAAGGCTCTAGGGGAAAATATTCTTGATTAGATAGATTCTCTGCTGTCAGGGAATTTGTTGCTTCATTTGCCCAACTTAGAGCTGCCAAAGCAGCAGGATAGTAGGATCTGCAAATTCAATCTCTCTCTCTCTCTCTTTCTCTCTCTCTTTCTCTCTCTCTCTCTCTGAGTCTCTGTCTTCCTCTTTCCTTCTTCCTCTTTCCGTCTCTCTCTCTCCCTTTCAATGGAAAAATCTCTTGTGTTCTCACTGGGAAAGGATCACAGGAATGTTTTTTTCCCCCAAGAGAGTATTCATATGTGATAGTATAGCAAAGACTGTATGAAGGGGAAATTTTGTTTTATGCTCAAAGCAAATTTATTTTGTTGACATGACCAGGAATTAGAGAAATTCAGGTAGTAATCTATCAAATGACTCTTAAATTCAGCTCAAAGTACTGCTCTCGAGCTTAAAATGAACAGACTGATCATTTCTCAAGCATTTCTTGATGTTATCTTTAAAAATATTAAGAGCTCATATGTAGAAGCAAAAAAAAAAAAGTAGAACAGAGGATATTAGAGATTGGGAAGAGTAGGGAGAAGGGAGGAATAGGGAGAGATTTTTTTAAAGAATAAAAAATTATAGCTAGATAGGAGGAATAAGTTCTAGTGTTCTATACCGACGTAGGACAAATATAACTAACAATAATATATTATACAGTTCAAATAGTTAGAAGGAGAATATTGAATGTTCTTAGCAAATAAATGTCTGAGATGATGGCTATGCTAATTACCCTGACTTGATTACTATATATTACACATATCAAAACATCACTATGTACTCCATGAATATATTATTTGTTAATTAAAAACCTAATTTTTTAAAAAGAAAAATATTAAATAATAAGAGAAAATAAATAAGTACCTATAGATGTACTCTTATTTGTCACACAAATAACCTGACATGTAAAGTTATTTTCTGCATGGCATATTTATGAAAAAGAGATAAACAAAAGAATGTATTGGCTGTTTAAAATGATTTCTTTAAAACACCCACATCCACACACGATTTTCAGGACAATGTGAATGTTCCATCTGTAGAGAAGACAATGGGGATGAAGGGACAATAACTACTTCTTGACAATGAAGAGTTGCCATGGAAAAGACGTATTTGATTTATGCTTTCAGAGTGAGCCTAGTAGGAAGAAATTAGAGGGAATTTAGGGACCTAACATGAGGAGAACTTCTCATAGTGTGGACCCCCAAAGATGGAATGAGTTGCCTTCTACAATAACGAATTTTCCATTCATGGAGATAGTCAGATGAGGCAATAGTAGAACAATCTGAGAATTAGAGAGGTAATGGCTTGGCTGTGATCCCCAAACTGGAGAGCCTATCAAAATCAACTGGTGAGCTCTTATACTAGAGATCCTTTCTAGCATTTATTTATTCTACCTCTCCTATACTTTGGGAGTAATCAAAATTTCTCTTTATTAAAATGCTATAGTTAGTATATGAGAAAAGGAATGATATTACCACTGTACCACTCCTAATGTATTAATGGATCTGCGCAATGGTCACCAAAGGCAGCTAACATCATAAAAAGAGCCACAACAGGAAGCATGTGCGTGCCTCCTGGTGGAAGTATATACCACCTGTTTTAGGTACTCTTGCCAGAAAAATCAAAACTGAGTCTGCAGATCTAGCCCCTAGATTTAACTACCAGTTGAATTAAATATGGAGACAGTAGGATAGATGAAATTGCGCCATGGAGACTGAATCAGCAAATCCAGAGTGTCACTACAGCTAATTTCTTCAACAGATAAACTACAAGATAGCAACAAGATAGCAAAAAAAAAGAAAGAAAGAAAAGAAAGAAGGAAGGAAGGGAAAGAAAAGCAGAAGAGGGGGAAATCTACAAATTAAAAGAGACTTTAAAGACATGTCAACCAGTCAAAATTAATGGGCCTTATTTGTTCCTGATCTGTAAAAAACAAATAAAAAAGTGTTTAAAAATTATGAGATAAAGTGAGAATCTTGAAAATGGACTGGATATTCATTTTTCTAAAAAATGAATTATTTTTAATTTGTTAAATGTCATATTGTTTTGTGGTTAATTTTTCTGAGTCCTTAACTTTAGAGACACATACTAAACTATGTATGGATGAATAATATGATGCTTGGGATTTACTTCAAAATAGTTCAGGGTAGGGGGAAGGGGAATGACTGGGAGTGTAAGTGAAACAAGAGTGGTCATGAACTGACAATTGCTGAATCTGACTGATGGGTGCATTGTGGGGGGCGTACTGTATACTCATCTCTCTACCTTTGTGTATGTTTGAGATTTTCCAAAATAAAAGTCAAAAATATACAGATTTCTGGGCCCAACCCTTGGAGATTCTTATTTATTATAATAGATCTTGGGTGGAGCCTGGGAAACTATGTTTTAGTTTTTGTTTTAAGTTGTATTTGTTTAAACATGTAGAACCCCGCTACCTAAAGGGCTATTATGGTTTCTTTCAACCCTGGGATTTCATGAGTCTAATGAGATTATATTCAGAGCTTTTCCAAGGCAATCTTGCTTCAATAGAAAAGCAAATAGAAAAGCTTATTTCTGATGTCCCTTTATCTTCAACTTCCTTTTTTAGTAACAGTCATAAAAGCTCTCAGCTTACACATGCCTCCTGATACTGCCATTCACACGTGTACTCCCAGGTGATGAGGCCTCTCTACTCTCCTCCTCCATCAAGATTTCCCTGTCCTGCTTTCCTCTTCCATAGGATCCTCTGTCTGCCTGGCTAGGCATATGTTGATTCAAGCCAAATATTCAAATAGTAGCTTAAGGTATTACCCTTCTTAAAGAAATTTGTTGTCAAAGGAATTTTCAACACCCTAACAAAGAATATGGACATTTCAGACACTGTGAGAGGAGCCTTGGGTATATTTTTTAGAATGTAAGCCTTTTTCAGGGAAAAAAAATCAAGCTCCAATCAGACAGTGTAGTTGGAAGAAATTTCCATGATTGGGTATACATTGCCTCTTAATAGCATCTTCTACACATTCTGCATCTATTCACTATATTTGTCCATGAGGCATAGTAAAATTCTAAAACATTTTTTCCATCATACAAAATTAAATTAAATAGGCTTTAAGGCTATGTATGTAATCGTATTTGTATTATTTGGAAATTGGTAATCCATATCTAGCTCTGAAGATTATTAGTTAATCAACTGTTACATTTACCAGAAACCCCATTTGCCCAATCAGTTTTGTGGTCCAATTCCCCGCTGAAGAAAATCCCACACTTAGGATGTAAACACATGGTTCTGGGGACTGAGAACCTGGGCCCACCTTGAAGGAAACACAACTTTCCCTCTAGCAGTTCCTATGTGGAACTGAGTTGGGAAATCTGAGAAGTAGGGGCAACCAAAACCAGAGCCATTGAGACAGTACAACTGGGCCAATTATAGAAAGAATCTCAACAAGCATGAGGATCCATGTGTAGGACAAAAGGAGAGGAAGTGGCTTTGAAGGAGAGAAATAGAAGTGGAATTTGAAGAACTCCTTGGGCTGCAATAAAAACCAATACCACTTTTTATAGTGTGTCTTTGATCTTGACTATGGGCACTTAGGGAGTTCTGCAGTCATAAAGCTCACTTGAACATTTGATATGAATCTGTTAATATGCATGCAGGTATCAATGTACGGATATGTGAGAGAAGAGTAAGGGGGTGGAGGATGTTGAGAAGAATGTTCTTCATTCAGAGAGTTAGTGTATTCCTTCATTCAAGGAGGTGATTAGCATGATGTGTGGGAAAACTCCCATTCTTGCATTCTAAGCTTATTTTTTTAAAAATCGTTTTAGGCTGGCAGAAATTGCACACTCCCTTCTGAAGCTGGCACCATATGACACTCAGACAATGGAGAGCCGTGGGCTTCGGCGCTACATCATGGAGATGCTGCCCATTACCGACTGGACAGCTGAGGCGGTGAGGCCAGCCCTGATCCTCATTTTGAAGAGATTGGATAGAATGTTCAACAAAATTCATAAGATGCCTACCTTGAGGTGAGGATGCCTCCTAGTCAGCTGTTGATATTACAAACCTCAAAGTTAGGATTTGTCATTTTTTAAGATGGTGGATCAATCCGGAGTTGGATGAATGACTTGAAAATTTTCTGTTGTTGTATGTGTGCAGCTAATCAGGTCTATGAATGCTTGAGTAGCATAATCTACATTTTGAGGAAATAACATTTTCTTTAAAAATACATGTGTTCATCTTGAAAAATCTATCCATTGCTTAGCTATCGTGTTCCTCACCTGACACACATAAGAAATCCAATTAGTATCCCTTAAGCCCTTTTGAAATATGCCTTATAAACAAAATAGCTGATCAAAGAAGAAAAATTAATTTGATGTTTCAAAATGCTGTATTTAACATAGCTGGGTAACATATTTAGGTGCCAGTTTAGAGAAATGCCAGGTTTTACAATAATCAGCCAAGCAGCCATTAAAAAGCTTACAAGATTGATAACAGATACCCAATTTTCACCTTTCTACCTAATTCAGTGCGGTGCTAAACGAACATTATTACCATTTTATATATGTTTAATGGCCTGAGAAATATCCATTGGTAGCCTTCTTATTAGCACATGTCTCTGAACCAGTGTAGTTGGAGATGTGAGCCCAATTTGGAAATTATAGTGAACAGACAGTTCAGTTGATAAATGCTGGTAAACTCACAAATTTGGAAAAGTAAAGTTTGGGTCAGTAAGAGTGCTTTCCATCCTTTTAAACCAAACTCAAAATCAATGCAACTCTTGCCCAAGAATGTATAGCACTTAATGTTCAATTTTTCAGAAATTTTCCATGTATTAGCCTGTGGTCTTCTCATTTATGTAGCCTTCAGGAGTCATTGAAAAAAACAAATTGAAAGATTTCATTCTAATTTATGGTTTGTTCTTATATTCTTCTATACTATGGTGATGACTGCCTATACATTATCTTAAATGCTTGTTCTTAAAGCACTATTTCTTTAGTGGTCCCAATAGAACATTTGTATCTATCAGCAAATGGCTTATCAAAAATTTATAATTGTAGGCTGGGCACGGTGGGTCACGCCTGTAATCCTAGCACACTGGGAGGCCAAGGTGGGAGGATCGTTTGAGCTCAGGAGTTCAAGACTAGCCTGAGCAAGAGTGAGACCCTGTCTCTACTAAAAAAATAGAATGAAATTAGCTAGACAACTAAAAATATATAGAAAAAATTAGCCGGGCATGGTGGCACATGCCTGTAGTTCCAGCTACTCAGGAGACTGAGGCAGGAAGATCCCTTGAGCCCAGGAGTTTGAGGTTGCTGTGAGCTAGGCTGATGCCATGGCACTCTAGCCAGGGGAACAGAGTGAGACTCTGTCTCAAAAGAAAAAAAAATTTATACTTGTGTTATGAGGGTGTGTCAAAATAAAGTCTTTTTCTTAAATAACTTGATATCTAAAAATGTTAAACATCTCCATAAACTGACCCATTAGTCATATAAGTTAAGCTCATTATAAAGAACATCATGCTTCCCAAAAGTAGATTTCTTGATTATTGCATTGACTTGGTCAGTTGCAGGCAATTTTCTTGAGATGCATACCATGAATATGGGATTGGCTTGGATTTAAATTTTTAGGTGATCTTAGTTCAACACAAGAAATATTGACTGAACCTGATCTGTGTATTACTTGGGCACCTTCAGCATCAGGGATGTCAATATATCCTCATTTATTTCCATTTTGTCATTGCAGAGTCTCCATTTTGGTAGGAAATATAAACTTTGAAAGTATTTCCAGGAAAATATATAAACATAGTGTTGATATCAGCAAAATTCAATATATTTATTTTGAGGCCACAGGGATGAATCTTTCAGCACTGAGACGATTACAAAATGGACTGACTTTTATTACAGAAAGTCCCATGTTCATCTAATTGGGTTATATATACAGTATCACCATTTATACTACCATAGAAAGTAGCCAAAAAATATGTTATCTCTTGGGAGACAAGAAAGAACACTTTTTAAATAAACTATTTTCTTCTAATGTGATCTTTTTGGCAGGAGTTAAGCCATGTAAATCCAATTAGTAGTAGTGTGGTGTAAAAGCTTATGTGATCAGGTGTGGCCTGATAAACAGATTTCAGAAATGCAGCCTGGATCCGATTAGTGCTATTACAGTAATTACCCTCATGATGGGTTTCCTAAAATGGTAGTCTCTGGTCCCTCTCTCAAGCTAAAACCAGGGAACTTAAAATGCAAGCCATTCATCATCTCTGTTTTCTCTTCAATAGATTTTTGTCTCATTAGTCGAGTGGGGCGGGAGTACCTCTGCCACGTTCTCAGTCTCTTCTTCCCTTCCCAGTGTGCTCTGTACTTTTGGAACAGCATGGGTAAACGTCATCCTGTGTGAAGCACTTTGTTGTCTGAGACACGCATCCTGTCTTAGATGGCGTCAGAATCACTGTCTCATTCACTTGTCTCAGACTGTCTCCAGAAGGGAGCCAAGCTGCTAATGGCTCCTATATTGTATTCCAGGCGACAGGTTGAGTGGGAGCCTGCCAGCAATTTGATTGAAGGGGTTTGTTTGACACTTCAGAGGCAGCCAATCATATCCTTCCTGCCTCACCTTAGGTCACTGATCAATGTCTGTGTCAATCTGGTGAGTAGCCAAGTGGCAATCTTATGAAACTTTGCAAAATTTCACTCTGCTATTGACTTCTCTGAATTGAAGATTTACAGGTCAACCACTTTGTGCCCCTACCTACCCGTGAAAGCAGACGGCTCAGGTGACACTAAAATAGTGAGGTACATTTCAAGGTGGTGCGTGGGGAGATCCAGGGGCCCATCCCTACCCAGACGGGATCTTGGTGTGCTGCTTCCCATGCACTACTTTGACAATTCACCTCTTCAAGTTGCGCTGAGAGTTGAGGGCTGCCAGTTGGAGAGTGGGGTGGCGGAGACTGCACAATTGGCTAAAAGTCGAGATAGTCTGGGGTGGGGGAGCTTAAAATGCAGAGGATATTTTTTTCTTTTGTAGTGCAAAATGACACTATGAGTTGGCCAGTCTCAGATTTGTGTGAAGAAAAAGAAATTTTTTAATCACTTGTGTAATATCTAGAGTCTGGTCCTGACAAGGTTTTGTAAAATGTGTGGAAACCATGTTAGAGCATTTCATTGAATAGGATCTGCTGCTTAATTAGTTGAGCAATAAATCTGTAGTTAGAATGCCTAGTGCAAATAGAGCTGTTGCCATCATCATTGTTGTATTTGCTCCATCAAAGAATGTTGTCCCCATTCCCCTGAATCCACAAGTAAGTGTGTCCAAACTCCTGATTAAAATAGCTTTTTGGTTCATCTCTCATTTACATAGTTAACTATAAACAACATTCTACAAAACCTTGGCTGAATCCAGTGTAATGATCGATCTGACTCCAGACATTACATGCCTTCAAAAGAAGGCAACAAGAAAGAAAATATTGAAAGTAACATGCCCAACCTTCAATTTATCATTATTATCATTATTATTATTATTATTAAGACTCCCTTAATATGGTTGCATGAAATTGCAATAGTCAAGGCTGGTCATGTGCTCTGTTTGTATTTCAGGTGATGGGAGTGGTAGGACCTTCCAGTGTTGCTGATGGATTACCCCTTCTTCATCTCAGCCCTTATCTCTCACCACCTCTGCCCTTCAGCACAGCTGTTGTCCGGCTTGTAGCATTGCAGATACAGGTGTGACTGCCTTACCTGTTTGTCACGCTCATTAAGTTGCTGGTTGAGGCACCAAATCATGGTGTTCTCTTTTTTTTCTGCAAAGGCTGGGCAAAATCTGTGAAACAGAAGTGTAAACACCTCCAAACTTTTATAGGTTTGGAGCTACAGCCCTGAGCTTGGCCCTAAGTTGTGCTTCTGTAATTCTTCTCGAGATCTCAAAAATAGCAGAGTCATTTAGTCCTGCCACAACCTCAGGGACCACTTCAGCCATTTAATGTGTGTGCAAAATAATGGTTCATAGATAATCAGCTCACAATTGTTAATTAAAAGAGGTAGTAATATTCACAGTCTGGTTTTAAATGATTTTCAGAAAGAATTGCAATACAAATTCTTTCAAATATTATTACTAGACTTTGAATATCTTAATTTTCTTTAATGATTGTGGGTTGAATATTGTGGTTTTTTTTTTTAAATTCTCCCACTTTATTTCTTAAAATAATCATTTCCAATGGAAAAAGTGCAGAATCTCAAATCTCCTGCCTATTTCTGAGTGTTATTTCAATTTTCAAGAATGGTAAATCATTGAAAAGCTCTGTAATCAATGGAAAGTATACAATTGATGTAAATGGATAACTGACCTATTATCTGACAACCGAGGTTGATGGTTCATCATCCAGAGAATGGGTAGATGACACAAAAGAGATCAAGAGCGGTGGTTACCAGACAGAAGGGAAACAATGACATCCCTAAAATCATACATTTTAATAACCTTTGTACAGAGATCATTTATTTCTTTCTGTATTGCTTATTTTTTCCTGGCTTGGGGAAGGCCTTGGCAGGGGTCGGAGAACTTTTAAATAACTCCTAAATGGAGCAAGTTCTGGTTTTCTTCCTTTTTCTTTGTTGCTAAAGTATTATTGTATGTATTGGAAACACAGAGAAAACTAATGGGGAAATGAGATTGTTTTTGTACCTGACCATAAGTTTTATAATTTCTCACTTAATAGTCAAGATGTTACTATCTTTTTAGGTAAATAGCTCTCAGTTATGTCAAGCACATGGTAAAGTATCAGTTTTGAGTGGATCTTGTATGCTGTACAGACGACAATTGAACTCATAGTTCACAGGAGCAGCCAGCAGGGAGCCACCATCTCCGTCATGCTGTGTAAGACAAACATACTAAATGGGTATGGTGGTCAATTAATCTTTTTTTCTATTATTGCTGCACAGGCTTTAAAAGAAGATTTTCCTTTAAGCCATGTGATCTCCCCATTCACCAATCAAGAGCGAAGGGAGGGGATGCTTTTAAATCTACTCATCCCATTTGTGCTCACAGTAGGATCTGGAAGCAAAGGTCTGATTAATTTAACTAAAGGGAATTTATCGTTGTTGTTGTGTTTCCTTAAATGTCAGGCTGTTATTTCTTTTTCCTTTTCCCATGAAGGCCATCACTGAAGTCGATCCGAATGATTTGAATAGGGTTACCTTAGGAAATAAGAGTTTTTCTTTCTTTTCAGTTTAGCTACCCTGGGACAAAAGTTTCTCTGCTCTGCTTCTTAGAAGATACATCCTATTTAAAAATTATTTCAGTACAGCAAAAATCAGGAAAACATTGTTTCAGTCCAGTTAAGGATGGTATTAGTTGAAGTACAAGATGATGAGAATTGACAGGTGAATGCACTTTATGGCCTGCTGCTACTGGGTTTAGCAGAAATCTGCCACTGTCATCAAATTCCAATATATCTTCATTACTCTTCCTTCTCAGGGCTTTTCTTTTTTTAGGAAAAGTTTATCTCAAATGTAAGGACAGTACATTATGAATATTTGCAAAAAGAAAGGAGATTGAAATGGTAAGCAGGAGATCTGGCTAAGAACTCAAGCCTTTGGAGAAAATACTCAGGTGCCAGGAACAGTTTCTGTCCATGGGAGAAACTGCATTTGGTGGGAAACACCTGGATTTGTAGGGCGTTCTAGTTTGAAATTGGAAAGAGAGCTGAGTTTTTCTGTGTCTAATATGTAACATCTACCTCGTGACTGTTTTTCTTTCCACTTCCCTCTTCCAAACTCTGCCCCTCAGATAGCCCTTGGCTGGAGCAGCCTGAGGTGCAGCTGCTGCTGCAGACTGTCATTAATGTGCTCCTGCCACCTCGGATCATCAGCACGTCCAGGAGCAAGAACTTCATGCTGGAGAGCTCCCCTGCCCACTGCTCCACCCCTGGGGATGCAGGGAAAGACTTACGCAAGGAAGGGCTGGCTGAGTCCACCAGCCAAGCAGCATACTTGGGTGGGTCCTTTTTCTCTCTATTGAGGAGTGTGTGTGTATATGCATATGTATATGTACACATATGTATATATGGATGTACTTAGTTAAGTTCCATCTTGACTCAGGAAATATTTAGACAGACCACAATCCAGAAAGTATTTAAAGAAGCCACTTGAGCAAGAAACACTACCCTTGCAAAAGAGTCTGTTTTTCTTAGGTAAACATATGCAAAAAACCAAAATGCTTTCATATCTGCAATGCCTAAGTTACTTAGTTGTTTTTATAAGAGTGTCTGGGCATGTAAGGAGGCCTCTGCGGTAAGGATTCCTCCTTGCTGATTAAGTATAAGATCAGTAGTGAGATTTGGTGGCCGTTATCAGATCTAGACTCAGTCTAGTGTACAAGGACATTGCGTTGCACAACTCACAGAGCTCAACTGGTCCATCATCTATGTGAATGGAGCCCAGGAGTTGGAGTCCTATACATCCTGTGCAGCAAGAGATGATAGCCTTGCAGTATATCATGCCTCCTACTAGTTATTTTTCATCCTTCACAATGTCATCTCTAATCTCCAGCTTGATCTTTGCTCTAATGAGACCAGTCCACATATTCTCCTCCCCTAGGCTTGCCAATTCCCTTCCCCTTTCACTCCCACCTTCCTTTACATTCTGCCTGCCTCTAACTTGCTCCTGACCCATGGAACAATGGAAAGCCACTCTTTGGCCCTGAATGAATTGAGTCAGGGGAAAGGACCACTCTTGCCATAGCACTGAGGATAAGGAGCTCTGGTAGCAGGAAATTTCAAAAGGAGAAAGTTGAGAAAGTCTTGCCTGACATTTTTCAATTCATCAAAGCAGATTTTGGTGGGAAGTAAAGATGAATGTAAACACACTGATAAAAACAGGTCCTTGGAGTTGGGAGTGTGTGGGGTATTTGGATTGTATTATAAAGAGATGTGTTTGAAAATGATATGATTGACAATAAGAATGAAAAAGGAGGGGAAAAAAACACCCAAAAAATGCATTTGTACAGGACCTACCCACATGGGTGCTCAGTTGCCCCAGCAATGAAAAACTAGGATTCAAATAAAATCCAGACTCTGACATAGAACTCTGCATGAGGTTTGGGATTGTACAGAGGGTGATGGAGAAAAGGGACTTGCCATGTAAGGCAAGGATCTGAGAAAACATTTAATGAGTTTCAGTGCTCTCCACTTTCTGCCTACATAGTGAAGGGATTTTTTTTTTTTTTGCTTACTCAGCCAGGCTACTGAACTTCTATTTTAAAATTATTCTTATATTTATTTTGAGCATTTACTGTGCACCAGGCAGTTTTCTGTGCTTTACATTATCATTATTTTGAATGCTCACATCCTCACAGTAACTCAAATAAGTTAATGTTATTCTCATTTTAGGAGTGAAGAGGCTGGGGCCCAGAAAGGTTGACTAACTTACCTAAAGGCACACAGTTAATAAGTGTCAGAGCCAGAGTTCAAACCCAAGCCATTTGGCACCAAAGTCTCTGTCCTTGAGTCCCTTATATGCTACTGTGCAGTGGGTGGGCTGATGGAAATGAAGGTGGCAGGCAGAATGGCAGAAATCCAAAGGCAGCCAACGACCACATAGTAACAGGGGAAAAGTCACTAGAATCAAGGTAGGGAAAGAGCAGTGTTGTTCTTTGTTCATTTGTTTGTTTGTTTAGCTGAGGGAGAGGAATTGAGATGAGCAATTCCTATGAAAAGTGAGATTTCAAGGAGGAATTTGGGTAAGAAAGTATCCTCCAACATCTCTCTCTGGGTTACCTGGCATGGTTCTCCCCTGGAAACATCCTAAAGCTGGCAAAGGTGTATGTGACTCTTGAGGGCTTTGGAGAGTTGGGTTTCTGTGTGCATTTAGTAGTTCAGTGCACTTAAGAAAGATTATTGTGTTCCCCTAATAAGAATTAAAACATGTTTACTCCACAGACATTTTAGATGCTGAGATAGATGGGCCTTAAGACAG